GGGTAAAAGATGATGTAGCCTCGAAACTATGATATAAACATGCACGTTGTGTGTGTGTATGTGATCGACCTCATGATCATTACAACCTGCAGATAATGTGTGTGTATTTTACCATTCACCATAATGATTATTACCATCTGCTCTTTCTGTGTGTTGAATGACTGTGTGCATGAGTCAAATTAGGTTAGTTAATGTGTGCATGTGCATGTGTGTGTTGCTAAGCACAGGCCGATGTGGATTTTAAACACTGAACCGTTAAAATGCTTTAAAGGAAAACTGATAAAAATGAATTTATAAAAAATACTTAGGAATATCACAAATATCCAAATATGCTGATACCATGTGATGCAAATTAAGACTGTCAGTCTTGTAGTGTCATCCAGTCTACAATGAAGTACACATATTGGAAAATGCCTTGGAAATTGGAAATACAGCTTGTAGGTCACCTGAGAGTCAAAATTCAGGGGAAAATTGCCATTCAGCTCCTCTTGTGAGTGGGCAGTGAGAACTGGAGGACACTCATCTGGCCTTTGGCTGTTGAACAGTTTGAACACAGTTTGGTGGGGTTTTGGTGAATGGATTCAACTGAGACTGTACACGTCCTGAATGAAAATGATATGACCAGGAGGCTGATTAATATTCAGATGTGTGTGGATTAAATTGTGTGTGAGAGGAAACAGTTAAGCTGCACAGAGAATCCCCAGTTTGTGTCTAAGATTTATTAAATCTCTGCAAAAACTCCCAAATCTCTTCATAAGTCTGTTTAAATTGAACCAAAGCTTTGATGAAAGTCCACTAATCCTCCACCGAGTCTGCTCAGTGTTTCACCTAAACCTTTATTAAATATCTAAAAACATCCACATATGATTGAAAGGAACTCCTTGTTGTCACACAAACCTTCGTATGAAGTGTGTCCGTGGTATTCGTGTCTTGTTGGGAGTCTCTGGTGTCCTGGTGCTGATTACTGTGACATTTCCAGGTTCTGTTGTATGAATCACTCTTCATCAATATTAGCTTGAAATGGCAGAAATACCGTATGTTCAGCTGCTGAACAGTGTCTGACGCTGTTTGTTTCTGATAGCCAAACTACTCCTGCGCTGCTGATGCCTTTTTTGCTGGATGGCGTTCAGTGATTTCAGCTTCCTCCTCTGCCACCTGTCCGCTGCATGTGTGCCTGTAGCGCCCATTGCGGAGTCTGACAGGCAGTCGGGGAAGAATAGTGCACACAGTGCGTTTTTTTTTCTTCAATACCGGTAATAAGCAAATGTGCATGGTGTGATAACGCTCAATGTTCATATCATGGTGCACCATGAAATGTACACTGCTGCAATCCTAACTCAGATTACACTGACTTCACTACACCTGTCCTAAAATGGAAAGTTAGGTTTAATAATTGACTCCTCACTGGTGACAGCAGACACTCGTTGATATGTAAAATTCTCATATGACTTTAAACACACACAAACACAAAGGCAGGGGAATAACAGGTGTCCTGTGTGTGTGTGTGTGTGTGTGTGTGTGTGTGTGTGTGTGTGTTGACTGTAATCCAAGACTCAGATAAATTAAATAGTGGATTTTGTTTCCATTGTTTTGCTGCAGCTGAACCAAACATGTGTTCTTATTACATGTAGCCCTAAACACACACACTCAGACACACACTGTGGCTGTCGGTTAATCAGATGTTTGAGTAAAAACAGATGCGAGTCAGACTGGGAGCTGATGATTTAATACTTCTGTTGCTCACACCTCAAATTTAATTTATACACAGCTCATTGAATTGGATAAGAAACATGATGCTGCAGACTGAATAATGAAACTTATCCTTAATGTGTTTGTAAATCAGTTTTCCTACAATGTCATGGCAACAATTTTTTTTATTTTGCTTGGTTCTCTCTCTCTCTCTCTCTCTCTCTCTCTCTCTCTCTCTCTCTCTCTCTCTCTGTCCCACTGCCTGTGACTGTCTCTTACCCAGAGGGGAAGGTGGAGGTGACTAAAGAGGGGATGAAGTTGTGCACGATGGGACCGGGCAAAGTGTTTGGAGAGCTGGCCATCCTCTACAACTGCACCAGGACGGCCACAGTCAAGAGTGAGTACACTGAGTGAGGCCTGATAACCCTGTAGCCTGATTTACTTTTAAAGCTATAAGGAGCAGCTGAGAGAGATGAAGGAACCCTGGGTCCCCGTATACCTGTGCTGGGTTGTGGTCTTCATAAACCACCTGTGTGTGCAATAAATTAGCTGGTTAATTCAGGACACTTCCTTTGTGCGCTGCTGACACTGCCAATCAGAGAAGGTCAGCGCGCGGCCTGCAGCTACACGTGGCCCACGGTTGTCTAGGTTTTACGTGTGGGCGTGTGAAACACCATTAATTAGAGTAGCATGCACAGCCTCCCCCCACCTGGGGCAGCACATTATTGTTATATATATGACAGTTGTGTCAAGAGGTCAGCAGGTCGAACTGCCATCAGATTGAGGGCCAGGTCAGATTGTGTGATACAACAGCAGCCTGGGAAAGATGCCAACTATGGCACAGAGTAAACTAGGTCAAGTGCAGGGCAAAGGCGGCAAGGACGAAAACGGCAGGTGAGTGTGAGGCAGAACAGGTGCAAACAGAGAAGGTGAGTTTGTCTTTGGGAAAAACAACAGTGCCAGGAGACATATTTAAACAACAGCATTTGAAAACTATGAAGGTAAACACTACTGACAGACTCACAGCTGGCAGCCACTGCAGAAGGAATAGGAGGACTGATAACTGTGCTCTAATTAAAGAGCAACAGAACCTGGGGACTGGTCATTTTTGACTGGTTTATTATATAAATATCTTGTAGTTTACTCTGATCCTGCTGTAAAAATGAATGCCTACCCCACGGAAGAGCCTTGGTAGCATCAGAACAGTTAGTTATTATTAGTGTCTTTACTGTGGCTCCAAACACTGTTACTGACACCACAGAGCAGCTGGTGATGGACTGTGATGACGCTTACGGTCCCCTCACTATGAACTGGAATAATCTCTGAGGATTATCATACAAAGCGTCTCTAAGTACATCTCCTTTGTTGCTCTGGATGTTCAGGATAGATATTTTGCTTCTGCCTTTGAGCCTCAGACCATAAAACTTTAACAGGTTGAAATGTCACTTTTGGGCTCATCCTGTGAGGATCGTCTTTTGCTGAGAACCAGAGGTTGAACTGACAACTTCACTGTCTTGACTCAGACCAGCTCCACCCCAGCATCTGGAGGTTTTCCTCTGCCAAGATTTTCTCCAGTCAGAACTCCGCAGCAGCATTAACCATTCGGTGACTGCCCTGCTGCGGGAAACTGACCTGAGTTCAGGAGACAAGAAGAGTCGATAGGAGGTGTGGGAGTAATGAGGCTGCAGTCTGAACCAATAAAACATCAACTGCAACTCTGTGTGTGTGTGCGCGCGTGTGGCCCTCCAACTTTTTGTTAAGGCTTCCTGGTAGAGTGCTCGCTAAGAACCAGTTGCCAGGCAACACCATCCGGTCCAGCCAATGAGCTAAGTTTTTGGCAACAGTGTCTCTTGGCAACAGTGTTGGGTTCGAGGGATTCGTTTCCGTTTGTTGAAGCTCTTTGCTCGTTATCTTCACATTAACACACGGCTCCAGACAAGTTTATCTGCTGTATTCCTCTACTTTGACGCGGCCACTGTTGGCTTTTAAAATCACTTTATAGCTAAACAAAAACACTCCACTCACTCTGACACCAGATCTTCGGCTGAAAGGAGGGTTATTGCCTCTTACTAAATGAGGGAAAATTCCTTAAGGGTTTGGTTTGGAGTCATTAAAGCCAACTTGCTTTTTTAAAGTATGAAGTTTTAAGGTGTGTGTGTGTATGATTTAAAACAGGAGGGGCCGCAGTTTACCAGCCCACAGGAACAACCCAGCACCCACAGATGAATTATTAATACACACACAGACACAGAGGATGTTTGTTGTTGTCTGACCAACAAAATTACAGTGGCACTAAGCACCGGTCCAGCAGTCTGTGGCCGCTGCAGAATGTTAGCGGGCCTGGCAGCATCGTCTTGTACACAGCATCACCATTCCACACCCCTCCACCTCTAAACAAGTAGTGCATTCACTACAATACACGATGCGATATGTGCCATGTTTTGTTTGGTCTCTCTTAGCTGTCTACAGGCCTGTTGACCAGCTGAAGAAAGACAATCTACTAAATGTGGTTCCTTCCAAATATGCTGATTTTATGCTGCCATATTATTTCAGTGACACAACTTTATATGCTGCTGCCAAGATGTGATTTACTTTGTTGGAAGCTCATTATGAACAGCTTTCGCACAAAAGTGTAGCCTAGCTATAATTCTGTAGTTTTATTGGCTGAACACATTGAATGCATGAGTCAGAGACGGCACTTAAAATTATGGTTAAAGAAGTAGGTCTAGAATTAGCAGCATTAGCACTAATGTTTGTAGTAGTGACGGTATCAGCAGTAATATTTGCAGTAAAACTAGTATTAGATGTAGTAGTATCAGTAATGTTAGTAGTAGCAGTCATAGTACCTGTGTATTAGTAACATTAGAGGCAGCAGTGGCTGTAGTAGTACTAGGAGCAGAAGGAGTAATAGTAGTATTGTAATGTTTATTTCAGTTTAGGTAAAAGTCTTGTGTTCAAAGATGTTCAGCATCAGTGGACACATTAGTCAAGAAAGAAAACCCCAAGTCCCATAAAAGAAAGCATTAAATGTTCAGATGGAGACTGAGACTGACTTAAGTTAAAGTTAAATTAAGGTTAGTTAAAGGTTAAGTTAGATATAAGGTTTCAGTAATTCCCCGGGAAAGGGATGTAAATCAGGGTAATGTCTCCTAAAGTGATGAAAACACTGCTAGAGAGCAGCTGCATGTGAAACCATCAGTTGGTTTCATTTCTGGACTCTTTGACCTTTGACCTTTAACACACTCACTACATTGCCTAATGCTCACACACCAGTTAGTCGACAGTGATAGTAACCCACCTGACACACATACAAAACTCAGCTGAACACATTTGCTGCTGTGGACTGTCTCCTGTTGTTGCCATGGTTACAAAGACACTTGTTGTCTCCATAGCAACAGACAGCAGAAACAAGAAGTAAAAAGTGTCAATGTATTATTAGTAAAAAGCTATTTTTAGATACCGCAAAGTAACTCCTGCTGTCAGATAAATGTGGTGCAGTAAAAAGTACAAAAAGCACCTTTGAACTGTAGTGAAGTACTGAAGCAGCAGAAAATGGAAACACTATAGTAAAGTACAAGTACCTTGTACTGAAGTAAAAGCACTTTGTTCCGTGCCACAGTGAATCCAGCTTCTTCTCTGCTGCAGCTGCTCATTTCACTTCTTTCTTTATTGTTGTTTGTTTGTTTTGACTTCATCATGTGACTCCCGTTCTTACTCCGGAACAAAACAGTGCAGTACTTGAGAAAACAAATAATGAAGTAGAATTTAAAAAGCTCTGTCGCGTAACAACGTGCTCCTTCCTGTGTCTGAGCTGAGTGACTGCGCACCCCTCTGCTCATCATACCCAGGGAAGTTTGTACAGTCGGCTCATCTCTATGATAACTTGCATGAGCTGACACACATACGTAAAGCTGGGTGTCCTGTAACCATGGTGACCAGCTCTGTCTGAGCATCACTGGTGAGGTTTATGGGATGTCTGCTGCTGTGAGCTCGCTGCAGCTGCACATCTGGATGTTACAGAATCATACTTTGCTAGTAAACATGAAAACAATTTTATTTGTTTACATCTTTATTCAGCGCGCCCATTATTTATATTTACAGTATGCTCTATCCCAGCATCATCTTAAGAGAATAATCACAGGAATTAAATTTATTCATGAATTTTTTTACCTGAAAAATGTGCAGTGGAGTTTGACGATGTTTCCTCCCCTGAGCAATGGCTTTCTGTCTTTCATCCTTCCATAGCACTTCCTCTCTGTCACCCTTTCGTTCATTCTTTTGTTTTTCTTTTTTGCAGTTTCATTATTCCCTTTGTACCATCATCCTTTCTTTCTTCCATTCCTTACAGTTCCCAGCTGCTCTTGACTTTGCTCTCACCACCTGTGGCAGCATCCAGATCTGCACCAACCAACAAAATAAACCATGTGTCTTCTACAGCAGCACATCACATTCATGAAAGGAAAAACAATCAAGGCTTTATCTCATAATTATGACTTACAAGAAAAGATTACCGGAGAGAACAGATCTGGATCTCCTCATTACAAGATAATGTACAGTTAATGGTGCAGGGTGTGGAACAGAACCTGCCTGAGAATCATCAGGTTTTTAAGATTTCTAGTTGCCAGTGTGTCCACAGGCTCAGAGTGAACAGGAAATGTTTCAGTTCATACCTAATGTCCCCAGACATAAACAATTACAGGCTAAAAATGTGTCCCAGGTTGCAGCCTACAGTGAATCTCATGGTATCCATAGCAACATTGTCCTGTTTTTAAAAGGAGTACTGTGTGTTGATATTAAAGCTCCTGTAGATTGTGAGGTTAAATCAGGTAGCATCATACCGTCTGTCTTCTTAAATAGCAGAGACTGATAACCACTAGATCTGTTAGTGACCCTGATTTAATTATGAGAGAACATTAAAAGTCTTCACCTGTGGTGCAGTTTTGTGGCACTTTGTCAGCACAGTGTTAAAGTACATCACCGTAAGTAACCCAGTAAGTCGTTTTCAGTGTTGGAACAAACCACCAGTGCTACAGTTCTGATGAGGAGGATGGCCTTTGTCATGTTGCCTTCGTGGTTAGGTTCAGAGGCCTAAAAAGCCTCTGAGCTGGGGGAGCCACAGTCCAGCTTCACATGTTGGGTGCTTCCTCAGTTGAAAGATTAGGTTAAATGTCACTAAAGGGTCCTGAGTCACTTCCACTTAGATTGATGACCAGAACCTGCTCACAGCTGTTTATGATCAAGAGAAGAATTAACCTTTGTCTGAAAATGAACGAACGTTGGTTCCCTGACCGCAGTCTCTGGGATCACTCGGTTCCCGCCAGCCGCTACATTGTTAAACACTGGGATGCGTTTGATTTCTGTTTTCTCTCACACCTGCTGTGATTACCTGCTGATGGAGGGTAAAGAGTTTTCATCTAGTTTTTGTCTGGTTTCTGGACTGTGGGGAATCAAACCTGCGTCGTTGTGAAGGTGAGATATCTCCACGCTGAGACCAGAGGAACTGAAACCTTTCTGAGGCTCTCAGAGGTTTGTGGACATTTGGGCTCGTTTCAGAAATCGGCTTTGAATTCTGACCTGCTGCACAACGATCGGTCGGTTTGAAGAGGGAAACACTTCGCTCAGGTTTTCTTTACTGCACTCCGTTTGTTTTGCTGAGTGTACAAAGCCTTGTGGCGGCATCGTCTCATGTTTAACCCCGGCTGAGCATCGCCTTCCCCAGCCACAGTGACAGACGTGCAGCTCATATCAGATCATATCAGCAGCCACTAATGAATGTTAATGGAACTTATCTGTTGTTGATCTGTGTGTGTGCACCAGCCAAAGATCATCTATGAGGGAAGAGCCTTCACTCTGTAGCACCGCCATACAACCAGAGTAGTTTGTATAGTTCAGCGTCTTCTCTGCTAAACCATCAGCTGATCTCACATCACTTTCAGTCACGTTCTTCAGTTCAACTTTCACCTACGTCACATCTGGAATTTAGACTGGTCAGGTTTGTGTTTTTGAAGCAGGTCTTCAGTGTTTGGATCAAGTAGCTCATTCACAGTAACGTGTCTGATTTTGTGTGATTTCACCGTTTCAGATTGAATCGCGTCGTCTGCTGCTGTGTATATTCAACATCTCAGGTCGATGTGTGAGTGTGGGCTGAGCAGCTGTGTCATTCGCTGTATATATACGGACTATAGAATCAGCACTATATGTTTAATGTCCTCTGACTGTGCTTAGAGTCAAAGTAAGCTGACTGAAACATTTGGTATTTTAACAAGTGGAATTTTTGGGACAGCATGGTGTTGACCACCTCTGGTGGTGATCAGAGTGAACACTCAGCAGGTCCTGGTACTGCTGTAAGTGGACACGGTAACATCCAAACTGTCACCATGCTTCTGTTCTCTCCTGAGTGGCTTTACTCCTCCATAAGGAAAGATTCTGTCCCAAAAGTCTCGGTTACTGTTAATGAGCCTTTTAGTTCCTGTTACCAAACAACAATTTTACATGTGGCTTCTTTTTCATTCTAAATCCAAAACACTGAAGCGTTTGTACAAACACTGGTGAGTTCCAGCTTTATCCCAAACAAAACCAGACTTTACCTGCTCAAGACTGAAACTGTCTGGTTGTTTTTTTAACATGCTAAGGTCTGAGCTGCTGTTGGATGGAAGCAACATCTCTGGTTTAACATCACACACATTCATAGACATGTGTACTGTTGCCATGATGACACACACACACACACACACACACACACGCACACAACAGCAGCAGCAGTGCAACAATGTCATTTCATCTAATTTCCCATGCATATTAAAGACAGAAATACACACCAGCACATGCAAACAGACACATTAGTAACATTAACACCATTCTCTCACACACACACACACACACACACACACACCAGTACTGTTTGGTAATGACATCCAGATCCCCTTGTTTCCTCAGGAGCTGCAGCCACACATTATTTCCACATCTGATTAACAGGCAGCGATAGCGTAAATGCCATGTATAACATTAATACCTCTGACCTGTGTGAAGCTGTAGCAGTAGCACATGTGTTTACGTTGTTAAATGCTGTGTGTGTTTCAGCTCTGGCCCACGTGAAGCTGTGGGCGATTGACCGACAGTGTGTCCAGACCATCATGATGAGAACTGGACTCATCAAACACGCTGAGTACATGGACTTCCTCAAGAGGTGACTAATCAGATGCTCACAAGCCAGGCAGCGCGCTGTCAGGGTCCAGGGTCAGATCCCACACACACGCTCATGTGCCTTTAGCCCAGTTACTCGCTCTGTCTCTGCGGAGCTGAAGCTGAAACCCTGCAGAGGGATCTGGTGACACCCAGTGGCAGAAAGTCAATAAGTACATTTACTGTACAAGTACTAAGTACAAGTACTGTGTTTAGTACCCTTTTCAGGTACTTGCTATTTACTGCTACTTCATACTTAGAATTCACTACATGTCAGAGGCAGAGCTTGTACCTTTTACTGCCCTATATTTATCTGACAGCTGCAGTTACTTACAAATTACATTCTACAGGCTTGTAAAATGCATCATGTAATAAATAAATACTGTACATACATGTGTCTGAAAGAAAACAAAAGAAAACTCTGTGTCTCTGCAGCGTTCCCACCTTTCAAGGTCTTCCAGAGGAAACTCTCAGTAAACTGGCGGATGTCATGGAAGAGGTGAGACTTTAAACAACAACAGTCTCCATGTGGATTTGTTTGTTTGCATGGTGTCGCCTCATGTTTAAAGTACCAGGCCAGTGGTTTTTAGTTTCCCACCAACCCTGTCCAGAGACCAGCAGCACCAGTGGACGTTGTGTCCTCACCGTTGTAAACCTCCACTGTTATCCACCAGTTATTAAACTGCCCCAGTGCAGCGGTGTGGCAGGTTTCCTCCTCTGGAAACATGGGAGGTTGTCTGTTTCCAACACACAGCTCCACAGGCTGAGAACGGCGTCACTGTGCACAGAGTCTCTGGTCTCTGCTCTGTTTGGCCTCCACTGGCTCCTCACACTGCACATATTGGACTTTTCACTACACTGCATGTATTTACCAGCTTTAGTTACTTTCCAGATTCAGATTTTTGTTACAAAATATACTTAACTAATACATTATGGGAACAGAACAAGAAGAGAACTAGACAACGCAAATGGACACTGTGGGTTTTTGTTTGTCTGGTGTGGAGTCTCTCTGGGAATCCACTAATCAGACGCTGACTTCAGTGTTCTGTGTTCAGACTCATTATGAAGATGGCGAGTACATCATCCGCCAGGGCGCCAGAGGAGACACCTTCTTCATCATCAGCAAGGGAAAGGTAACTCACACTTCTCTTTGATTCCTTTATTGATTATAGACCTACTGACTCATCCAGATTGATCACTGTTAATCACAGGTGAACGTGACCAAGGGGGACTCAGCCAATCAGGAGCCAGTACACCTCAGAGAGCTCACCAGGGGCGACTGGTTTGGAGAGAGAGCGCTACAGGGGTAGGAGCAACTTGATTTGACCTGTGACCCCAAGCCCACAGCCCTTAACCTCTGAACTGGAGCCCTTAACCTCCAAATTTGACACAAACATCCACTTAGATTCAAGAATGAACTGATTAGATTTAGGTCAAAGGTCAAGGCCAGTGTATCATCACATTTGTCCCATTACGGTAAATTTGTCTGGTTGGCAGAGGCACAATCATGAAGCTGTGATTCTAGTTTGTTAAAGTATTACCAGTCTGCTGAGTGTGAGAGGTGGTGATCGAGTGTAAAACCCAATAATTTGATCCAGTCGTTCTAGTTTGGAGCCCAGTACTTGAAGATGTAACTGAGGGCGGTTAACTAACTGTGGTTTAGTTCAGGTTCAGATCATGTGAAAGCCAGAGGAAGCTCCACGGTCCTGAAGGTGGTGTAAATGAAACCTCTCCACCTCTTCAGTCTGTATCACCACCTCCTTCTCCACTGTCTTCTTCTGTTGCTCCCTTAACCGTTTGGCTTCTTTTTCAGCCCCTGTGACTTTTGGACAGAACTGTTCTTCTCACCTGACTACAGCAGACAGAGATAACCTGGGTCCTGACAGGAGGAGGGCGGAGTCAGACTTCTAGGCGGTCTGATAGACGGACTGTTCTGACACTGTTTTAAGACTGAGCACAGTAGAGAGAGGTTGTTAATTAGAAACGTCAAAAACACCCTTGTGCTGCCACCCCTGGTAAAAACTGCAGAGTTAGGAAGAGGCGACCCTCCCAGGGTCCTTCAGGTTGCATGCTGAAGAAAAGAGGTCGATACGTGCAGTCATCTCTGAGTCATGATTAGGATGGGCTTTGCTGCTGTTTTGTCCTGCCAGTGAGAGCACTCAGAGTTATTGTGGTGTGTCTTCACAGGGAGGATGTGAGAACAGCCAATGTCATTGCTGCAGAGGCCGTCACCTGCCTGGTCATTGACCGAGAGTAAGAACATGCCACAACGCCCGCATTTATGTTTGAGTGAAAAAAGGCCAGAGCATGACGAAAAGTGAGAAAGTGGCAGCAGTAAAAGTTTCGCAACAGGTTTAAGAGTGAATGTGACACTGGGTAAACTGAACAGAGTAGTAGAGATAAAAGAAAACGAATGAAATGTGGGTGTTCAAATACAAAACACTAAATTGAAAAATAAAAGTTGTGAAAAAACCAATGTAACTCAGTCTCATTGAGGCTGGAGGTTTGTTTTTTTTTTTTACCTTTGAGGCGGTAGTTTGACAAAGAGTAGATACAGAATTTGGCCCAGGCTCCGCTCACTGACTGCATCTGGCTCACGTGGCCTTCATGGACCACTGCTGGTCACGTGACACCAACGTTGTTTCCAGCTGAGAAAAGCTCCAGATAAAAAGGTAATAAGTGAACCTTGAGTTTTTTTTTTAGTTAAATTGTGACACAGACTGTGAGTTGTAAAATCAGTGTCCGATATGGAACTGTGTCGCATTAAATACCCGAGTGACTCACGTTTTAACTGATTTAATTGTAGGATTCATTTATTTTATTAAGAAAGTCAGTGAAACTTGCATCACTATTTTGTCACTGGTTCAGAAGGGAGAGACAGATTACTAAATAAAAATCATTCAAATAAGCACATTTTATGTGAAAATAATTTGACTCAGTGTTCCTTTGGTTTTTACACCTGGATTTACTGGAAATGTTTAAGAATGTCAATAAAAAAATATGCCAGTTATAATCTGGGTGCTGATTGGCTGCTGTCTCTTTCCTCCTCAGCTCATTCAAGATTCTGATTGGTGGACTAGACGATGTTTCGAATAAAGGCTATGAGGACGCCGAAGCCAAGGCCAAGTAGGTTTGACCTGAAGTCAGCAAACACTTTACAAGTTCACAAGTTACACGTGTTCTTTTGACACTTACAGGCTCCTAACTGTCTGTAAATTGGAGGTTATGAAGTCTTAACATCTGCTTTAACTCGTGCGCTTCACATTTGCTGGAACTAGTTCATGCCTGCAGTAGCAGTCATGAGTTTTTGTACAAGGCTGACTGTGAAGGTTAATGCAGCCAAGCTTTGTTTTATAGCTTCTTCATCACCACGGTGCAAGAAAGTAACAAAAACATTTGAGTAGTTGATACTGCTGATTAATAATTTGTCATTTTTCAAGCAAAAATGTCAGCTGCTCCCTCGTTTGAGCTTCTTCACCGTGAGGATTTGATGGTCGTCTTTCATGGACTGTGGGACATTTTGCCCTTTTCAACATTTTCTGAAATGTCTTTATCAAAACTGTTTGTTGATGAATCAAGAAAATAATCAGCAGATTAGATGATGATGAAATTTGTTGTTGAATGAGCTGAGGACTGTGGATGGACGGGAGTCTGAGGCAGCCATGTATCTCCTCGGTGTCTGTGTGTGTGGATGTTTACAGCGGTAACAGGAGCCTTGGTGCTGTTTATGTAAGAGCAGCTAATAACAGAGTGGCAGCTGCATGCAGGGCGCAGGTCACAGTGAAGGACGCGCTCAAAGCTGAGGATCGACTACTGCTCGCGCTGTCCCCACTTCATACATCAGTGGTTACATCAGAATAGTAAATCAAAGGATCAGTCAACTCTGCACTTCCTAAGCATGTTGGTTCCTACTACCTGCTGTAAAGCTAGTTTCTAATTTTCATTTGCAAGCAGGTGTCATAGACGGATGTGGCAGACAGCAGTGCTGCCTTCCGCTTAAAGAAGAAACCCACACATTTCTCTGTATTAATTTGAAACTGACCATTACAGTTCCTTAGTTAACAGACAGACACATGTCTGTGTCTGGGTCTGTGGGGCTGTGGAGGTGATCTGACTCCCACACTCAGCTCTAACAGTTAATCTCTTTTTCACTAACACCAACTATTTTTAGAGCATAAATGCATTGGTCTGTCCTGACTGAACAACAGCAGCTTCTGTTTCTGCAGAAATCTGATTCCATTGCATTGGCTTCTAGGAAATAGTGCAGTCCCTGTTTGGATAAACACACACACAGGTATCTGTTGGCTGGTATTGCTGTGCTGTGTTTGGCAAGAGACAGATTTTATTTTTAGTCTGAGATATTGGAGCTAGAAGTTTACAACTGTTCTCGCCTCAAAAGTCAACCTAAACCCGCTCAGCATCCTTCATTTCTACCAGATATGTTTAAAGACATAGACGGCACGAGACTAACTGTCCTAGCAAACTCCTGCTGCTCTCTAAAGTTGGAACCTCTGGTCTGAGGTCAGGACAGTTTATCCTGCAGCCTCCTGTCTCTCAATCAGTCAGTGAAAAGTCTTAGCTGTATTTATTGGCTGAACCTCGGAGCACTGTTTCCACACACTAAAAATACCAGCACAGCAGCGGGTCTCCCTCTCAGTTTGGCTTTAGACCCTGCAGGACTCAGCCGGGACAGACGTGGACACAGAGCTTCTTCTCAGTCACAGTTAGATCTCAGTTGGACTCTATCCACATAGCATCCAGACAGTTTCAGTCTTGATACTGAACTGGATTCAGTTGGTAAAAAGGGGTTTGATGTAGAATATAAAATCCATCTACCCCGAACAGAAGTTGGGATTGTCTTTATTTGTGACAGCATCGTACTAGGAGTCCATCTGCTCTGGGTCAGCCTCATTTGTAACTTTAATGTACAGAGAGCTGGAGGATCTGGCAGCCTCAGCGCACCGCCAGTACCACCAGACTGGAACCTTGGCCCTCCACCACCTCCCTCAGCCCTTCTATCACCATGTTAACTGGAGGTTGAGCTCTTCTTTTGAGACGGCTCTCTTACAGACGTTGTGTCGGACGTTTTCATGAGGACAGAAGACAAGTGTGCGCTTAGCATCGAGCAGAGGTTTTGCACTTTTATATGCTGGTTTTTAGAGACTGTTCCAAATTTTGAAGAAGATGATGACTTGATAGCTGTTGTGAGACCCTCAGCATCATCCATATAATTCCAGTTTATGTCATTTTGTTGTGAAAGACATTCCTGTTTCAGAATAAGTGTCAGCCAGTTCTTTGATGGTAGTTTGGAGTAAAGACAGACAAAGCTGCCCACCTGAAAAAGTTGTTTTTCTGATCCGTCTGGTCCTTCATTTGGGCATTAATACCCTTCAGAGATGAGGGATCTGCCCACCCCTCCAGCCAAGCTGCAGAGAGGGCATCTCACCAGCCTTCCTGCTGCTCCCTCTCCCTCGCACTCCTTTCCTATCACCTCCTTCTCCATCCAAACTTCCAAGAAGTTCCCATTCTTTCACGTGGTCAAATTCTGCAGGTAGGACAGGGTCTCGGTTTAAGAAGGTTGGCTGGGAAAAGTTTGAGATACCGAACTACTCCTGAGTAAACAAATGTGCAAAGTGGTTCATCTTTCAAAATGTCCCAGAAATGTTTTTTTTTTTTTTTTTTGTAAATGTCCAGATATGAGGCAGAGAACGCCTTCTTCTCTAGTCTGAAGCTGAATGACTTCAACATCATCGACACACTGGGAGTCGGCGGCTTTGGACGCGTCGAGCTGGTACGACCCGACCACACTGCAACTTCAGACACAGGAAATGAGACTGTATTGGTGATCTGCAAGAAATCAGATGCAGAACATATGTCTTTACTGTAGTGCGACACAGACTCACAGTGCAATATGTCCCGGACATCAGCAACAGAAACATCAAGGTTTGGCTGAAAAATTTGAACAGGCTGTGAGTAGCTTGACAACAGGCCTCAGCCTGGTAAACCAGCTTTGGATTAGTTTGAGGCCAGTTTTAGACCATTTGGCTGAGATCAGTTTAAATTCATAGAACTTTTAATGTGTTTGTGTTTGTGTGCATGTGTGGGTGCCCTCAGCTGTTTGCAGTAATTTTCCAGTAAAGTATCAGTGCTGGTATCTGGTAACCAGTCGTCACGTGAGTCAGAGTCTGGGCTCCGAAGCACAGACTGAGTAGGACTGTCCCAGGTTCCCTGTGGCGCTGTAAGGTCCACACCTGGCCCACAGAACCTGAGGAATCTCAGTGAAACTGTATATGTCTCTCTCTGTGCGCTCATCAGGCTGCTGCAGGTCGACAGTTTTCATTCCTACCAGGCTTTTATGGCTTAAATTCCTGCACCTTACTCTGTTGTGTCCTGCCAAGTTTCTCCAGTCATAACTTCTTCACCAGATTAATTGATCCTGCATTCAGTGAATTTGATTTACCAGATTGTATTTAAACCCACAGCAGCCATTAGGTGTGATGTAAAACAGAAGGAGCTGGGGTTGGGGGGTACTAAATGTTGAAGGGGAAGCCCTGTAGAGAGTCTGTCGTGGAGCTGGAAGGATCCCCGTTCAGGGTCTCCCATCATCCCCCTGGAGATATTATTAGTCAGTGCGTCAGAGAGTAACTGTGCTCCAAGGAAAAACCTGACCTCTGACCTTCACACTCCTCGTCACACCCTAAACATAACTCTGATTACTCACTCACATATTTTCCATCATATGATGGGACAGAGTGTGTCCCAGCATGGCTCCTCCTCTGGTTTACTTTGTACAGCTGCATATGGGACCAAATTAACTCGGGAACTCTATATTTCAACCAGAAACACCTGCATCACTTTGGGGCTTTTTATTGGGCAGGAAACTGTTGGCAGTGTTCGATACCGCTGACTGTTCACACACGAGTTTCACACCTCACCTGGTTGGTGGAGCTAAATTGAACAGCTACATTTGCCCTGTTAGTTCGGTTCAGTGGGGCCGTCAGTCAGACCATGATGCAGATCAAACATATCCGGATCAAAGTAACAGAGTAACGCAACACGGATATGCGACATCGTTTGAAGTATGAAACTAAGGTTTGGGCTTTTGATCTAGGCAGAAGTTAGGCGTCAAATGTGGGCTTAAGGGTCATAACAAATCCGGAGTTCACACTTTGAGTGACAGGAGCTGCATCCTATATCTCTCTCTAACAGTTTACCACCTGCCTCTTTGTTCCGAGTCACAGAGATCAGCTGAGTGTTTGTGACATAACCCATCCTCGAGCCTCCGAGAAAGACATGTAGACAGACACACACCTGTGCAGAACGTTGTCTGAGCTGTGTCTCATACAGTTTTTGGCCTTTAGACGTGACATTAAGCTGTGAATTTGTTTGAGCAGATGCTGACTGTAGCATACTGGTCTCTAACCACTTTGAAACTGTTTGTACACTAACCCACCAAGGGTGAAGGGGTGTCAAAGTGAAAATGTCCCCACCCCCTTGGTCCAAAACTGAACTGGTCCTCACACTGTAGAGCCGTACAAGTACACACACAGTCCTCATTACTGAGCCATGAGCGAATTATGACCTCTCCCCATGTCAAAGCTTATTTATCACAACACGAAGACTCTGTCCAGAAATAGAGGGTTGTGTCATGTCCTATATGTGTCACAGTGTGTGTGTCTGACGTTTACAGCCTGAACACTGGTTGGCTGACAGACTACACAAAGGTTTAACCACACAGTATTAGTACAGAGGAAACAGGCAGCGGAGGCTTTTATCAACCTAAAATGTTTGAAATAATTGACTCATTTAATATGCAGCTAATCAGACTCCAGCTTTGTTGCTCCCATTGTAAAACACATACTTTAAAACAGAATACATAACATGTACACTGTCCACAGTGACTGTCATATATTTCTCTATCACCTTTAATTATAGATTATATTTGCACTTAATTATAGATTATATTTGCACTCACATAAGGGCGTAGTGAAATACTAAAACCACAAGACTCCAGACACATTTGCCCTGTTTATACCTATTACTCTGGAAAACCTGGGACCTGCACCAGAATTAAAAAAAGGTTTTGTAGATTTGAACACGTGATGTCAAAATCTCCACATTATTTAAAGGATCGATTTGGTGTTAATCTATATTTTTGTTATCGTCAACAAACCTCCCATGCAGACTGAAAAGAAAACAGTGTGGGTCTCTGTCTCTACACTCGTGACTTCCTGTCTTTGGCTCTCAGGTCCAAACCTGCTGGTTCAGACTGAAGATGTAAATCTTTATAAACACCTCATAGATACATAGTTCAATTTTTATTTATTCATTTTTTTCTGAAACAGCTGCTCACTGTAGCTTTTATCAAACAAACAGGAGGAAGCAGTGCATTTGCTGGGGATGGGGTTAACAGTTTCTGGACATGGTTGACATATGTACACATACTGTATATAACATATCTCCTGAGATTAAGCTGAAGATGAATATTAAGGTTTGTTTTTGTTCAGGTGCAGCTGAAGAGTGAAGAAGCAAAAACCTTCGCTATGAAGATCCTGAAGAAACGCCACATTGTTGACACGAGACAGCAGGAGCACATCCGCTCTGAGAAGTACATCATGACTGAGGCGCACTCCAGCTTCATCGTCAGGTCAGCAGAATAATCACCATGATCAGAAGTGAAGTTATTTTGTAATGAACTGGCTGATTTTATGTTGTTGTCAGTAAACAATTCAGACATTTACACACCTACAGCAGCTTTAATAAATGAACATCACGTTATACAAGGTCATGTAAAGAAATCAGTAGGTGGTGTTTGCTCAGTCAGAGACGGTTGTTGTCATGTAAGTGTAATATACTGTAGAAATAACACACAGGTAGAATCTTTAGAACTGTTCACTACAATTTCTAATGTCAAACAAAATTCAGGTAGTTTATAACTAAAGTAAAGCATTACAAAAATTAAACAGAAACAACCCTGGTTTGCAAAAATAATGCATAGTGTAGCCCTGGTTTTGAAAACATGTTAACACAAAAGCCGCAGAAGGATATGAAGCATATAAAACGTGGGAACAGGATGCCATCGTTGTATTTTTACAGTGAACATGAGTAAAATATAACACAATGCATAAAGCAAAGAACTCTCTCAGATGGACTGATGGATGCTGTAATCTGTTTCTTTTGCATGTCGGATGTGTCGATGAATTGTTGTCATCTGTTTTTAGGTTGTACCGGACGTTTAAAGACAGTAAGTATCTGTACATGCTGATGGAGGCCTGTCTGGGAGGAGAGCTGTGGACCATCCTGAGAGACAGGTGCACGCTTCACACAGTCCATCAGTCCTCTGATCACATGTAGTATTACTATATACTCTTCTGATCTATGTCAAACATCAGCCTTTAGTTTCAAACAGAAAATATTTCACCATAAAAGCTCTGTGTAGTGCTAATGTGAGGCAGAAATAAACATGTCTCAGATATTCAAGAACTTCTTTTCTTTTTTTATTTTCCATAAGTTTTAATGGATGTGATTTTTTTTTTTTTTTTTGACCAGAAAAAATTTGTGAGTGCTGAAACTATTAATGAATCCATTAATTAAAAAATTTGGACAGAGAATATATTAACAATTAACAGCGGTTTTCTTCATTTCATTCCAAAACACTGGACGTTCTCTTGTGTCTGCTCCCCCAGTGTTTCTGATTTGCGTTTGAGGTTTTGGACTTTTGGTCAGACAAACGTGACATCTGAAGATTTCGCCTTTGACTTTAGGAAACTTTTTTACTATTTCATGACATTTGATTGACTAAAACTAAGCAAAGCAGATATTCATCCACAACATAATCAACAGATAAAAGTAATTGAAAAAAAACTGTTACGTGCAGCCTGAAAAGCAACACGCAGCAACAAACAGGCTGGTAACCAAGCAGAAAGTATGGGATGGCTGCTGAGTTCAAAAAACCTGAAAGTCTCTGTTTCTTTATTTAACTCTATGTGTTTCAGGGGTTCGTTTGAAGATTCAACCACCAGGTTCTATACGGCCTGTGTGGTTGAAGCCTTTGCCTACCTGCACGCCAAAGGCATCATATACAGAGACCTGAAACCCGAAAACCTCATACTGGACAGCCGGGGATATGCCAAGCTGGTACACACACAAGTTCATTCTCTTATCTGGACAGGCTGAAGCAGTTTGGTTTGTATGATCACCACTTTGCCTCTGAAACATCTGAAAACAAATCCTGACTGAGTGCCTTCCTCAGGCTGATATTACAGGGCTAGAAATAACGGTGACTGTTCTGCTGTGGAGGACAAACATTTGGACAGGTTACCAAAACTTTCTTCTGAATGAGCCGACACACACTTGGAACAGGAAATAAGGAAACAAGAATTAACCAAAAGCCTTGTGACCAATGAAGAAAAAGTGATTTCTGTTGTTAACTTGGACCTAGCCACATGGGACAAACGTTACTCCTGAAACGGCAGCCGGTCTGAGGGGAAACGCTACAAATGATAAACAATACAGCTGCAAATTATTTATGCAAAAACCTGTAATTGGGGAAAGGCTCAATTAGCCGTTGCATTGATGAAGTAAACTACTACATCTGTCCACGTGACATCCAGGAGAGCGTGAGTTTCAAACTAAAACTGAGCCCACTCTCAAAAAGGACTCGAGTTGTGCACAGTATCTGATGAGCAGTGAAGAAAATTGCGGTTTCTTGCAAAGCTGCATTTTCCTAGTTGTGCAAAATGTGTATGGTTGTGAGGACCATGACTTCTGCAGCACTCACAGAAATTCTTCAGTGCTTTTTAAATGCTTGCATCTGAAACATCTAGTCGTCTCTGTCTGACCTGCATCTCCTGCAACAGGTTCAGACTCCTCTACAGCTGGAATAAATACCAGCACAGGTAGAAATGGTTTCAGTTCTAGTCCAACAGTGTGCCAGCCTGAGGAGGTTTGCCCAGTTGGGATTGGTTTCCTGCTCTGAGATGCTTGATGAACATGAGCCCAGGTTGTAAAGATACCATGTCAAGAGTAAACTTTACCTTCAGGTTTATGTCAGATGTTGGAGGTGCTGCTGTGATATGAGTCCAAACTGATCAGGGAGCAACAGTGGCCAATGGGAATTTTGCTAGATGAAAATGAGAAAACTAAAAATAAAGTTAAGTCTGATGAGACAGTCGATTTTGTCTTTTCCAGGTGGATTTTGGTTTTGCCAAAAAAATTGGTTTCTGTAAGAAAACGTGGACATTTTGTGGGACGCCAGAATACGTCGCTCCAGAGATCATCCTCAACAAGGGTCATGACGTCTCGGCAGACTACTGGTCTCTGGGCATCCTGATGTATGAGCTGCTGACTGGCAGGTGAGGACAAATCAGAGGAGAATGAGCAGAGTTCAGTAGAGTCAAACTGCTGTGTCCTTCAGGATCCCTGTGTGTCTCCAGTCCTCCGTTCTCAGGTCCAGATCCAATGAAAACCTACAATGTCATCCTGAGAGGTATCGACATGATCGAGTTCCCCAAGAAGGTCACCAAGAATGCCGCCAACCTCATCAAGAAGCTCTGCAGGTAAGGGGTGCTGTGTGCCTGAGCTCAGACTTAGATGATCCCCAGATAAATCGCTGAACATGACTGTTTATGTCCACAGAGATAATCCCGCAGAGAGACTTGGAAACCTGAAAAACGGAGTCAAAGACATCCAGAAGCACAAGTGAGTGGGCTGAGAATAGAGCTGTCTGCATACTTTTGGCCGTGTTAGTCAAGGCTGTTAGCTCACCCCTTTATGTGAAGACCAGACTAACCTGTTTCTCTCTGTGTTCAGGTGGTTTGAAGGTTTTAACTGGGAGGGTCTAAGGAAAGGAACTCTGACTCCGCCCATTACACCCGATGTGAGTACACAGCAACTTTTTACAATGCTTGAGGCCTGAAATGGCCACAGAAACAGTTAGGACTGAGCTAGACTGAGCCTATCAAGTCTGAACATCAGCTTGACACTCTTAAAAATATTGGTGCACACTTTTTTAACATGCTGCGTTATACTGCAGTGTGATATGGTACAATTTCTGTTAAATCTACTGAGTAACTGTCTATCCCAAAAAGAAAAGGTGAGGTTTGAACAAAGACGGGGGTTATGATCCCACCTCTATATATGAGCACCTGCTGTACCATTAGGTTTTACATCACATGATGGCACCTGAGACAGCACTGTTCACTAAATAATGAATGTTTATAAAGCAGAATACAGCTAACAAAGTCAAAAAACACAAGATACTGTACATAGTTGAGGCAATTACAACAAATAGCCTTCAGATAAAGGTGAGTAGTCAGGGGTAACTTTGGTTCAGTGGGTAGATCGGTCATCTCCCAACTGAAGTGTTGGAGGTTCGAATCTTGGTGCCTGCAGTCCACATGTCAAAGTGTCCTTGGGCAAGACACTTGGTTAGATGGTTAGAGCCATTGGTTCACAAATTCCTTGTGTGTGTAACATGCTTGGCCAAATAAAGGTGATTATCCTAATTATTAAGAAGGATCTGGGAGAGGACGCTTTGCCTTCCACAGCTGTGGAGCCCAGACAGCAAAGGCCCAGTCACTGTTATAATAACGTGTATTATGGGCTGAATCAAGAGTTTGAGGTTCAGTTGAAAGCTGTGAAAGCTATGTTATGTACTTGAGAAACCATTTATATGTAAAATAGCCAGCGCAGAATGTGTGTTTCTGGCTAATCCAGCAAATGAAATCCTCAAAACAATCAAACATCCTGGTGCCCCAGTGATCAGTCTGGCTTGAGTCTGGCTTGAGTCTGGCTGAAGACTTTGTCTTTAAAAATCAGCATATTATATAGAATTGCAAAAATAATGGGAATTGTCATAACTCATCCCTAATCACATCATCCACAACAGTCTTATACAACCAAATATAAGTGACAGATACTCCAGTGGACACTATACAGACGATGGTACATATTATCACATCACAAAAGAATACTAGCAAGATATTAAACCTGCAGACCCTCTTTTGATGTGTCAAGAGTCTGACTGACCTGAGTCAGGTCTTTAAATCTAACACGCCCAGTCTGCGGGTCTTTGACTTTGTGTCCTTCTGTCCAGGTCTCCTCTCCAGTTGACACCGGTAACTTTGACAGTTTCCCTGAAGACACAGACGAGCCACCGCCAGATGACAACTCCGGATGGGACTATGACTTTTAAGATCCCGCTCAAGCCCAAAGCCTGGTATCCCACAGTGGGCAGCAAGGTCCAGATCTGGGTAGAAGACAACTCATGACTGGGTTGAACAAACTTCAATGGAAAAGGACTGGAGGCCTCTCGCTGATCAAACTGGATCCATCTAGGGCCTCTTACTGGGAAACCTGAGCTGCCATGACACCTGAGAGCTGGAAGATGACGTGGTTGAAGGATCAAACCTGTTCATGCCAGTCGTCTGTCCCTGTTTTCAAGACCATGGCAGTTTATCTCTCAGGGGAGAAAATAGATTGTAGAAATTTCAGAGTGACACCTGCCTGGTCCAATGGTCTAAAAGCATGTTTTTGGCTTTTCCAACCTGGGGAAGTCATGCTAGCTCCTCCAGATTTTAGAGAGCTGTCAGAGCTTTGTAGTGTTACTGCTCCATCCACAAAAAACTAAAAGACATCTTTGCAGTGATTACTTGTTCAGCAGCAGCTGAACCTTGGATGTGGTCATCCCTCAGCAGTTTCTCAACCCTCTGAGGGCAGAAAATCCTTCCTAAAAACTGCACAACACTTTGACAAAACAGCACCAGCGCGTTCTTTCACAACCTGGGAAAGACCTCCGCACTCCTTCATTTGAAAGAGCTGTCAGGACTTTGAAAAATAATTTACAAAAACATGCCACCACTGCAGAATAGATGTTCTGACTCAGAGAAGCATGAACCAGCTGGGTATCCTCACCTATCGGCAGTCAGTATCACAGTACAGGCCTTGTTTATGTCCCATATAATGCTGCAAAACTGCGAGGTAGCTGGGACGTTACTCTGTGATTTCATTCAGAAATCTGCTGTTTGAACCTGTCAGTGAAGCTTCCTGAGGCTGAAGCTGATACATCTGAAGGAGTTAAGCAGAATCAAGTTGTCTCAAAGTCCTTCCAAGAGCACTAGGCACTCCTGCATTTTTCCTCAGGCCAGAGACACAGTTTGTCTCCTATGTCCAAATCTGGTCTTGGTACAAACCTACATCAGAGGCTTTGAGTCGTCCCTTCACATACCTCGAGCACATCACAGAAACCATGGCCCTGTTTTATGCAGCATATGGAAATGCTCCTGTCAAGTGTCCTTGATTGCTGGCTGACACTTGACCTTTGACCCCTCACAGGGAGAGCGTTCTGCTACTAATGCTGTCTGTCCTCTGACATTTGGAGTTCTTCTTTTGTTGTCTGGATACAGTTTTCTGGACTCTCTAACCCCAGAGTTTGGCTTTCTGACACTGGGTGGGAAGAGCTCGAGGCCCCCCGCAGCAAGACAGTTTTCAGTGCTGACAGATAAACCTCTCGAGGAGAAATTTATTTAACACTGAACAGACTAACTCAAGGTCACCCGGATGCCTTCGCTTCGCTTTCCTAGAGCTTCATGAAGCTTCATATCCAAAGACAGAAACACTAAAGGTCTGGGTGTAGTAGCTGCTGACGGGCAGCTGATGGAAATATTTCTGCTTTTAAATTTTTCTCATTCTTTATGTTGTGAATCTTCTAATTGCAGCATGAGATATGATATTTTGTACATATTTCCAAGACTTCCTACATATTTTTCCACACACACATAAACACTCCACAGACACATCCATGACTTTGTTTCATTTCTTATCAGCTGTTTGCTCTGAGGCCGAGCAGGTTTCAGGATTTTTCAGAAGCCTTTTGTTTTAAGATGACGTGACGTACCTGCTTCATAATAACCTGGCTGCAGACCTTTGAATTTCAGAGATTCAGACTGGTCCCGGTTATGGGCACACTGATCACAGTTTCTCTAGTTGTAAAAGCAAATGGAAGTTCAGCTTTCTACCGATGCTTCTGTGTGGACAAGTGGCTAAAATGCAGTATAGTTTGTACCTGGTACTTTGGGTGTACCTGGAGGATTAAAAAGTCTATCCATGAAGGGGAAAGCTGACATTCAAATATCTTCTTTACTTCAGATTTTGCACTTAACATGGTGACAATGGGGTAACTGTATTTTTGAGATCACAGTGGAAAAATCAGTCGTGATGTTCACAATGTGCTGTAATGGTAACACAAACTGTGTTAAAGTATATCTGTGCTTTACAACAGCATGCTTACAGTAATTCTGTGACAGAGTGGACATTTACAAATGTGGAGTGGAAGTAGACATGCAGTATTTGACCTCTGTATTGTTTTCACAAACAAAAGGTTTTATATGTATTTATAAAGTATTTTGTGGCCTTTCGTAAATGCTGCTGATAGTTGTCTCTTTGGCACAAAGCCTTTGTATTAGCCGTCCGATTTTGCTGTGATATTTCAGCAATGTGACTTCTGTGAGTTCTGCATGAAATTTTTGGTAACAGTTGTGACCACCACAAGGCTGAAAACAGTCAGATGCTCAACGACAGACACCAACGAAGCAGGCAGCGCTCTGCTTTTAGAGGCAGACGTCAACATTTTGGACATGCTTTTCCTGAGAAGTTCAGATGATTTTCAGTCTGTGTGTTGAGTTGGACTCAGGTCAAAGTTAGCCTAGCTTAGCATAGAGGCCTGAAGCAGGGGAAACAGCTAGCCTGGCTCTGTCCACCTCAAAACCTTTCTCACTTGTTTGGTACATACACAAAAAATGTAAAAGAAAAAAAGTTTAGGAAGTACAGTTGTTCATAATTATGCAGAGCCATTTCTTGGTGGGAAGCCAGTGAGGGACTGAGCCATCATTTGTCGGGGTTTGGATCTCGGTGAATAAGCAGATTTTCAGACATTCTCTAAAATAAAAAATACACCTACCAGCACCTCTGAATCTCTCTAAGTAACACATTTTATATCATTTGTCTAACCTGGGAGAACCATTATCTTCAGCACCCAATGCTGGTTAAGCAGGCTGGATTAGCATCCCGGCTCCTGCCTGGTTAAACAGGCAGCGAAAAGGATAGATGCCCAGATCCGATGGCGAAAATCACAATCACAGGTACAAAGGTTTTTAAAAAGATGTTTGGACCAGAAGGAGAAATATTCATGTGCATATCAACTCTTAGTGATGATGTTTAGTGGTTATGAGTTTGTGTGATGAAGCTCGAGTGTCAGTGATTTATTTGTACATACTGGGAGTATAGTGCTTTACGAAGTTTCAGCTGTTTGTAGTTTATTATTATTAATATTATTATTGTAGCTGAAGAAACTCTGTGACTCTCTCATGCTGTCTCAGTTCAGTAAAGCTTTATGGGCATGACTGTTAACAAAACAAACACATATTTGCCAAAGCAGTTTAAAAAACCTGTAAAGAAAAACAAACTGTTTTGTTCCTGATTTCAAACAACATAATGCACATCACTGTATGTCAGCAGTCAGGTAAAAACAGATGTTTGGTTGTCTTATTCATAGGGTGAAACACTGCCTACTGATTAAACTTAAGTTATTAAATAAAGGTAACTAATAAAGATTCAAGATTCAATATTTTTATTTGCCATTTATGCATAAACAGACAGTCTAGGCATATAAGAATTCTTATGCGGGGCTTTCCTGGAGTCAAGTAAAGAGTTTAAAGCCAAAAGAACAAACACCTAGTCTAAAAGTAAGATCACCCAAGAATACAGAATAGTTGATAAAAATGTGGATACAGGAATAAGATAGTGGGTAAAATGGGGAGTTTCAGATATTGCACATGGTATTACACATAGTGTAATTGTATGGTCTTCTACTTAGTAGGGTAATGAGGGGTTATTGCACAGGTTTTTCACATTTTGTATTTGCCATCAGTCTTACTGCGGCAGGGAAAAAGCTCTTGTGTAACTTAATATAATAGCAGATGTTTATTCTGTTCAGCCTCTAATCTCAGCCTACTGTGTTTTTCAGGCGACTCACTGGAATCAACCCAGACAGAAGTACCAAGGCTAGTCAGGGTAAGATGATCTCCAAGAGGACAGGGAAAGTTGTTCAGAAGAAGTCTGTCACAGTCAAAACCTGTAGGAGAACAGTAAAATAAACATTAATATAATTAATCCTAAACCACCAAAGAAAGGCATTTGCAGGTTCTTTTCCAATGTGCACAAGTTAATCTGCAAACCCTTCCGAAAGTAGCTCCTCTTAGGAAAAAAAAAAATCAACCAGGTTTTCCCCACATTAAATCATCACCTTCATTTAACTGATTGATTAATAAAAGATCAAAATTTTGCTCATTTCTCATTGTTTTTATTTAGACATGAAGATATGTTTGATACGTTAAGCTCTAAATGTTTACAGTTGTTTCACCCAATTACTGTAACGTTAGCAGTATGCTGCTGTAGAATGATTTTACTTAGCTGTGACTTTACATTAAAATGTTCATTGGTTGACTGTGAAAAATATGTGCGTGGCATTCTTAAAAAACAAAAGATCAGAAAGGCACCAGGCTCAGAGAGCATGACCCCCCCTCCTCCTGCCTGAAAGCTTGTGCTGATCATCTGGTCCTCAGGGTTCTCAGATAGCACAGTCCATATCAAGATGCACCCCCACCCCCACCTCCACCCCCCATAATATAATTACTACTACAGAGTAACTTGGACAGCCATGACCATTTCGCTCTAGCTTTATCGATCTTACCTGCACTGACTGGGAGGGGAGGTCACTGCTTCCATATCTGACTATAAGACGGTATTTGGGTTGTTTCTGACGAGCACTTCCCATGCTGAATAATCTGTAGGGTTTAGTTGTATAGATATAGGCATAAATCTATGTGACATGAATGTAGCCTAGGCCTGAGATCTATTGAGGCCATGTCCCCAATATTTTCTTGTGAAATGTGGGGATTTACATTCCACTGTACAAAATTAACACATAGTGGATATTTTATCAACTGGCAATGTTTTCAGACTCATTATATTTAAAATAACAATTTTTAGGTCCAATAAACAACTGCAAAAAAAATCAGAGGCGGCTTTGAAATTGTATTTTGACTATGAAGTATAACTGGTTATATTCTACACTGTAAGCCTGGATAAGTTGAACTTACTTAAAAACTTTGAGGAAACTGGTTGCTTTAAAAAAATTAAGCAATGTGTAATGAAAACTTGAGTGAATTTAAATTTAAATGCAGATATTCAAAACTGTTTTAGTTCAAATTTGTTAGGCCATTAAAACAGAAGTCCAAGTCTGGGAAACACCAGATACTGATTAAATGATTCTGAAAGTTAGCAGTATGGTTTAAATTAGAAACAAAGGTTAATAACTATGCACCTACAACATTTACAACAAATTAAGTTTCTTACAGTGCAGGTCTTGAAGAAGGCAAAAGGATCATCCCCCAAGATGACTGGCAGTCCCCGAAGACAAAGGCACCTGATTGTCTGTTGGCTCAGTGGTCTGGAAGATAGTGGGCATAACTCTAAAGATATTCACATGTATTTATTGAATACATTCCAGAATTTCTCCACAGATTTTATGACTTTATTGCACAGCAAATGAGAAGACAAGAGGAGATGACAGGAGAGCAAAGGAAGACGACAGAAGGGTAAAGTATAGAATAGAGAGCGAAGCAGAGAGGACAGGAGATGAGGTAAGGAGGAGATTAACTAAAAGTAGAAATACTACAAGTAAGTCCTGCATTCAAAATGTTACTTAAGTAAAAGTATATGGCAAATAGGCTACTGTACGTTTTACTGCTCTACATGTATCTGATAACTTCAGTTCCTTTCCAGAATCAGATGAATCAATTCAAACCCAGTAGAATCATCAGATTCTGGTTGGAAATCCACCAGCTACCCAGCAGGATGTAAAGTACGCCAGTTCCACCTTTACCAGCTGCAGCATTAAAGTGATGAACACAGTAATGTGTCAGTCACTATGATCCAGTAGTATCAGAGACATTACTGTGACACGGGCTGTTCTACAGAATGAGTACTGGTACTACTTCATGTATATTTTGATGCTGATACTTGTACTTAAGGAACATTTTGAATGCATGACTTTTACTTGTAACAGAGTACTTTTACACTGTGGTATTCTATTTTTCGGATCTGAGTACTTCCACTGCTGCATAAATATAAAATACTGTGTGTGGCTACTGCAGCTCATTTTTACTCAGAACCCAGTGGATGTAATTCCTGTTGAACGCAACAGGAATTGGAGCTGCTTCCTTACAAACTGCTGGTTGATGTGTGCAACAGCATGTAGCTATGCCTCCTCGTAATCCTCCTGCTGCTCCACATCTTTTTATGAATGAGGTTTAAAAACACAGTGATGTCAGAAACAAGCCCATCCCCCACTGATGCGGGAAAAACCTCACGACCAGAAAGAGAGAAGTATCCTCATGCCTCCCATGTGTCTCTCTCCCTCCCTCCCTTTCCACAACATCTTAGAGAGGGAGGGAGTGAGACGAGCAAACAGCATCCTTCCATCCTCCCCCTCCTCTCTTCTCCACAAGCGTGAGGATGAGTAATCCAATGAGGGAGGGAGGATGAGAGAGATAGAGAACAAATGGGGGAGAGAGAGGAAGGATACCAACGCAGCATCAGTGAATGTGCAGAACGAGAAGATGAAAATTCAAAACCTTTCAGCTCCTCTTTCACTGCTAAGCACAGTCACACTGGAGATGGCTAATTCCTGGACCCTCACTAGGTGACAGAAGAAGGAAAAGAAATTATCCGAATTGTTCACTCACATGTGGGGTGTCACTGACTAATCTCTGGAAAAGCTGAACAAGATGGAGGCATCATGGCTTGTTTCACTGGATTGTACCTGAAAATTTCATTGCAGGCTGACTGACTCATTGTTTGGCTTGTGGTACAGACTATTTCCTGAACAAGCCTCCATTTAGATAGCTATCCTATGTCATTCTGACAAGTTAAATACATCTGTGCCGTATCTCCACGTGTGTTCGTCTAGAAGCTGGGACCTGACTAATATCTGGAATCAGTAACAGCACCTCACTGCTCTACATATCCGTGTAACTGGGTTTCTGTGTTAAAAGTCTACATACAGCCTTCTCCTGGGACCAGGATAATCTCTGGATCGGTGTGTCTGGCATGTTCTGTTTTTGCCTGCAGAGTTCCCTGCTGAAGCTCCAGACGCTGGATGTGGAGGGGGGCCCCTCACTGGGACCGTCCCCAGAGGAGAGCCCCCCTGCCCTGGGCAGCAAGGAGCAGAAGAGCCCCTGTGGCCCGCCCGAGCTTGGAGGAGTGAAGGAGGAGAAGACACTGGCTCTATGCCACGGTGTCACCATGGATGAGAACAGCCCACCAGGTACATACACCTGTCTGTGTGTCTATACCTGTCTGTCTCTGCCCAGACCTGTCTGTCTGTCTGCCTGTCCATCACCAGTATACTTGTGTTTTACTGCAGATTAGAAACATTTTGACATATTTTCATGTTTACATTCTTCCCTTCTGTTTCTGTCTGAGCTGTTCTCTGATGAAAATGTGTCTCCATGCATCAACTGTGTGATAATCTTCATCTCTGACGCACCACAGTATTTATACAGGTATCATCCAGCTCCACAATGTTGTTATGAGCCAGTGCAACGTTTTAGGCGGCTGGGGTTGAAAGAAGGGGGCCACATTTGTAAAATGACTAAAAATGTCTGGAAATTTAAATTTAAAGTCATGATTCTCTGCAATAGTAAACTGAACATTATTAATACTTATACTGTATTTTACATAAGATAAGATAAACCTTTATTAGTCCCATGATGAGGAAATTCACATTATTTCATTCTAATATGAAATAATATCAATAAATAGCAGACAGATTATGAGACAGTGGGCCCTGGACACATATGTAAAAGACCCCCACACTGTGGTGTAATGTGTATATATACATGTTTTATATGGTGGTGTTGAATATTAAGATATATTATCTTGCATCCTTCAACCACACAGGAAATATTATGCACACTGAATTTCAAAGTCTGAAGGAAGTTCACTGTGCTGACATGGAGACACCCCTTTCATTAGTAAACATATTAGTCTCCCTTTAGAAGTTGTGTCATCTGATATACAGCTACCCTGTTTTATTCCAGTTGCAGTACTGATTTCTCTGTTTGCTGTTTGTTCTCATTGATCTACACAGTTGTGACTGTGTCCACATGGTGCAGTAAGTGATTTCAGAAGCGCCAGTCTTTCTGGTGAGTCTGCTTATTCTGCACAGAATCCCGCCTTGTTGTTTCCCTGGGCGGTGCTGCTATTTATAGCAGAGCATGCAGACGTAAAACGCTGCAGCACGTGAGCCTGACTGTGGTACAGTGCACTGCTTCTGAATCTGCTCTTACACACTGTAGACCTCTGACCGCTTCACTGTGTTTCTGCAGCATGTTTTTATTAAAGCCGCTTGGTACAAGACATGTCCTGGAGATTAAAGCCAAGTATTTGTAATTATTTCGCCCATCAAAATGATTGAAATGATGCTGTTAATGGTGAGAGCTGAAATAAGCAGCCAGTTAACTAACTAGTTGATCAACAAAACAAACTAATATTTTTATAGTTAACCCCTTTTGCTTGAAAAATTACAAATGCTAAAAAACAGGTTCTCAGTGTGATTTGCTGCTTTCTCCTGTTATCATTATTTTGTTCTGGAGGTCCTTGAGGTACTGCAGGTGGTTCTAGTGGTCAGTGATGTGACACCTGAGGAGGTTCTTGACACGCTTAGTTAGTTCTGGTAGCCAGTGAGGAGGTTTTACTGGCTGCTCAGATGTTACTAATGGCACCAGAGGAGGTCCTCCAGCTGGTTGTAGTGGTCACTGAGTAGGTTCTTACAGTCCTTGAGATGGCTCAAGTGATCACTGGGGATCAGTGGGTTATTAAGATGCTTGTAGTTGTGACCAAGGAAGTTCTAAAGATGGGCGATATGGTTCTAGTGGTGTCTCAGGAGGTTCTTAAGATCCTTTATTTGGTCCTGGTACTCTCTGAGGAGGTTTTCCTGACTCTTCAGTTGATATTGTGGCAGCTGAGGAGGTTTAGAGGTTCTTTTAAATTTTTTACCCTCAAACACTGAGGATATTCTTGAGGTCCTTCGGGTGGTTCTAACAGTCATCAAGGATCAGTGGGTTCTTTAGGTGGTTGTAGATGTGAGTGAGGAGACTGACGAGGTTATAATGGTCATTTGGAAGGTTTTAGAGGAGGTTTCCAAGGTCCATTGGAAAATCACTGGAAGATTCTAGTTGACACTGAAGAGGTTGTAGGTCTTTTTGTTCTTGTGGTCTCTGGGGAGGTTCCAGAAAACTAATAGGTGGTACTCGTCACCTAAGAGGTTCTTGTGGTCATGGTGGTGGTTCAAGAGGTGCTTCAGGTGGTTCTTGATGTGGACGTAGTGGTCACTAGTTAAGTTCCAGAGGGTATGTAGGTGGTTGAACACCTAGGGTAGCTTTTGGAGCAGTGTGTTAGACAGTTCCCTTCAGGTAAAGACCAAATGAGAGGGAATCTTTCAGTAGAATATGTTTTTCCATGGGGGGCTCAGTAGAGACCAGCAGTAACACTTAAAGCATGTTTGAGGCAGCTGTTTAATTTCCCTCAAACAGAACTGCACTTTAATAGAAAACTCAGGGAGATATAAATATGTGTTTACCTTGTTTGTTTGGCTGTATGACAGATTCCCCTTGTTTCCAGCACTGTCTGATATATTCAGAGTTTTGACCCTCGCTGTTTCCTGTCCTCTCTGAATCATGGCTCTGAGCTGAAAACACAAAAACAAACGTATGTGATCGAAGATTCCGTTTCTGACGACACCCGCTTGATGCTGTAAAATGGGTTTAGTTCACCTAAATAAACCTAAACATATGAGTTTATGCTTACTGTGCATGCAGTTACACTTTCCCTGATTGATTACCTTGCAGTAATACATTACGTTGTTCTCATAGCGATGTTCCTCATTGTCTTTCACTTGTTAGCAAAACTTTCGACCACATCCCATGGCCTTCCTCTGCAGATGGAGTTGTTCATTGTCATCAGGGTAGTTTAGAGACAGGTCTATATGATTGTTTACAAATCATGTAATCTAATTAAGCTGTCTCCATAGCAAATGAAATACTGCATTTGTAGAGAAAAGCCATATGATGTGGTGGAATGCACTGGATACACTAAGTGAACGTTGTGTTGAGATTTGTTTTGTTACAGTTGTTTTCAAGGTCAAAAATGTTTGTGTGATATTTTAGATTTCATATTTTATGCCTTTGACTTTCTGTAGAAATGTTTCCATCCACTAGGTTTTATATGTATTTCTAATTTATGCATAAATTTGTAAAAATTAAGATTTCCTAAAAAAGATTGTGTGCTGAAGAGAAGATGCAATAAAAAGGGGACAAAACAAATTTTTACTTACAGAAAATGTTTATTAATTATTAGTATTTGTTCTGAGAATATTTTAGAATATTTTGGATATTAATTTAATTTATATTATAATGTAGGCTGGCTTGAGGAACGAGGTGCTATTTTATTCACACATACAGCAAACTGAACTCATGAACATGCTGAACAATCTCCGCCAAACCCGAACTAATTACATCCCGCCCAGAGGGGCATTATGGGGGACCCTGCCAAGTGTCCCTCCACCCCCAACACTACAATATTTAATTAGTTTATTATTGATTTCTTTAGCTTTGTTTTCTATTGGTTGTTTAGCTTGTTGTCTGTGTGAGGTTATTTTGCAATAATTATTCGTGCTGTCAGCACTGTGGGTTCCTCAGGTTCTATGGGCAGGTAGGTGGGTACAGGACCATCATGCACCGGGAGGGTCTGTAGCTGTGCACAAGAGAAGCAGCATGACACAGGATTTCTTTGTTCTTTTCTTTGCTTGCTTGCAGTGGATGAATAAACCTTAGGGAATGCAGTGACTTACTATATTTCCCCATACCATATTCGGTGGCCTGTTTGGTTTAAGTTAGATTGTTTTAAAGATTCTTTAACATTTTTGACAAACACAGTGACTTGAACCTAATGTAAAAAAGCACTGAGTTGCATCTTATTTTACAGATATTTACATAATGCTTCTTTAACATAAGCATTTCACCAAACCAGGGCTTGTGTTGTTACAGAGCTGCTGAGGGTCCTGAGCAGACCTCCACAGTCCCCCCGGCACCAGCCGTTAGCCACCATCCACCCCAGCCAGCAGCCCCTCACTCCCGATGGTGCGCTGCCCTCCAGCCCTCACCACTCGCCCTACTCCCCACAGAGAGGCAGCCCCGGAGGTGAGGGGTCAGGAGTAGAAGGAGGAGGTGGAGCTCTCCTCCAGCTGCTGGCGGGGGGGGCCCGCACCCGCCCCCGCCCCCCC